TCATCTTCTACTTAGAAATCATTACAGGTTTTTCTATACTTGCTTTATAATTATCAGGATAAATTAGAATATCTCCTTTTAAACTCTTGCTTTTATGAAAGACTTTATACTCTAAAAGGGCATTTGGCATTTGGATATATTTTATTCAGTCAATTTAACAACACTAAGTATACTTAAATCCTTACTAAATGAATGTGGTTATAAATTGAACGTTGAATTTTTTTTCAATCATGTGTATTGTTCTCTATTTTCATAAAGACAAATAATTTTTCTGCTTTTCTTTTGGCAATAATAATGTGTGACATTTTTTAAACAAAAAAATTAATTTCCTCCACTATGGAGTATTTAAAAGATAATTTGGGATGAGTGAATCACATAACATAATAAACTTGTGAAAGATGTTTTCCTTTTTTCTGGAAAACAGTGTTGCTCTAATTGCTCTTCCTGGCAATGATCTCTACTTTCTCCTGCCCCCTTCCCCTAAACATTCTGCATCTTGCTGCACAATGAGTCCTCCTAGAACAAGCTCCTATCAGGTTGCTTCCTTGCTCTGAAACATCCCATTGCTCCCTATTGCTTATCAACTACAATTCAGACCCTTTCCTGTGGCATCAGGAGCCTCCTTGGTTTGGCCTATTTAGACAGTGTTATCTCCCACTGAATGGCCTGCTCTCTATTTCTCAAATACTCCTGGGTTTTGCCTTTGCGTTTATTATTTTTGCAGCCAACAAAATAACTCATTCTTTTCAGGCCGCATCTTACCCTTTTAGGGCCTAATTTAAGTGTTGTTTACTATATAAAGTCTTCACATTCATTCAATAAATTTTATGGAGCACTCATTGTGTCATATTTTATTTTAGCTGCTGGAGATACGGCAGTGAAGAAACACAGAAAAAGCCCTGCTCTTAGATAGCTCACCCTCTATCACCTTAATCCTCCTTCCAGTCAGAATTAATTATTTTGGCGTTCTCAGGGTTATCTGTTTATACTTCAATTACGTGAGTTATCACTTTTTACCTCATAGGACATCGTTAGTAGCTTGAATGGAGTGACCCTGTTTTAAAACTTCCTATCTGGTACTGTGTAACCATTAGACCTTTTTATGGGAAAGTAGAATAATAATAATCTTAAGTACTGATTGTTTACCCATGTATTAAACCCTTTGTACATACCATCTAATTTAGTACAATACCTTATAATAACGTGAATATTATATATGTTATCCGTATTATATAGATTAGAAAAGTGAGACTCACAGAGATCAAATGAACAAATGTTCAAAATCTCACATTTGCTAGGAGAGATGCCAAATGTTAAGCTTGAAACCTTTGGATTCAAAGTCTGTACGTTTAACTCTGTGTTATACTGTCTAGGTTAGGAAGAAAGGGAAAGATGCAGGAGGGTCAATTTAGCAAATCTGTGGCCACTTCCTTGCCTGCTGGTATTAATCCGAGTGGCAGCTGTGCTCTGACAGGAGTCAGGATTTGGTCTGTTTCCATCCCGGCGTTCTTCTGGGCTCTAAGGAGCAAAGCATGGGCTATTTCACTAGCAGATCCATCTCCGCCAACACAGACAACACTAGAAAAAAGAAACCAAGCAAAAGAATGCAAAACTTCAAAATAGTTGGTAAGAATTCATGAAATCTAGACTTCAAAATATTTTTCAAATTTTAGTCCATGTGCATAATTACTCAGACACTTTCAAACATGTTAGTATGAGTGAGTGAGTAAGAAGACAGAGCTCTGAACAGAGAAAGTTTACTTCATAAATATAATACCTAGACGATCCCCCATAGACAAAATATTTTCAGGTGAGTTAAGAGGTAGTAAAACATTTGAACATGTTAATTCACATCTGACCTGTATTTTGCTCTGTTTAGATCCAAAAGCATATCATTCTCATTTTGTTTAAGTTAATAATACTGGTATCTGTAATTCATTTAACTAACACCAAAATCCTGCTAATTCTCAATAAAGCTCTGAAAAGACAGATAGCAATTAAAAAACTACTAATTATCATTAGTATATGAATGTAGTAATCGTCAACCTGATCTGGTTTTCATCTTGACATTACTGCTATATGGCATTTCTAAATTTAACTTTATTGCCCTTTGACCTTAAACAGTACTGCTAATAATTTTTTTTAAGATTCCATGGTAAGTAGACTACAGAAGGGGGTGGAAATCCACGAAAGTAATACATAAGATATCAGAAATTTGTTTCATAATGACTTGTATTTTTTTTTTCCTTTTTTTTTGTGTGTGTGTGTTTTTTTGTGACCGGCAACAGATCGCAACCCTCAGTGTCATGCCCGTACCGGACCGGGACGGCAACGGGATCGCAACCCTCGGTGTTGCGCCCGCACCTCGCTCAGCCAGTGACCGGCCGGTCTGTATGTGGGATCCGAACCC